TCTCCCTAAATCCATTTCTCTTCAGAATTTCACCGACCCCAGTTCCCATCTTAGATACCCCATCTGCTCTCTTCTTCCCCACAACAAGAACCACACTCAAATTTCAGCTACCACTCACACAAAGCTTCCCACTCCCTCCAACCCCTTCGCTTCAATTTGGGAGTCGCTGCTAATCTTCTCCACTTCAGCGCTGTTGTCCTTTTCTCTCTTTCTTACAGATGTTGAGCCCGCGGTTGCTTTTGTCGTCACCACGCCCAGAAAATTGCAGACGGATGAGCTCGCTACGGTTCGTCTTTTTCAGGAGAATACTCCGTCTGTAGTTTATATCACAAATCTTGCTGCAAGGTTATTACACGATGAGTTCTGTTTATAATTTGGGTCGTTTATTTGGACTCTAATTTTGGTACGATTGTCGCTTTGAAACGTAATTTTGATATGGGTTTAGGCAGGATGCTTTTACTTTAGACGTGTTGGAGGTGCCACAGGGGTCAGGTTCTGGATTTGTGTGGGATAAGGACGGTCATGTTGTCACCAATTATCATGTAATTCGTGGTGCTTCTGATCTCAGGTTAGTTATGAACACTCTATCGAACTAGATTTCGTTGCAGTTCATTTCTAATATGCGGAAGTGATGTGAAATTTATATGGTTTACAGTTGTTGGTAAAAGATATTAGATAGTTCGGCAGAACTATGTCATATTTTTGGCTATGTGATTTTGTGTTGGTGGTATTTTATTGTGAGATTGGTGTCTTTGATATGTATATCGTAAGAAGTGTCTCTATATGTAAGCCTTTGACATCATAATCCAAAAGCGAATAAAAGACATTAGATGGTTTAAAGTGACACTATTGCAGGATCTAGTGGCTTGAAGATGGAGATGATAACTCGAAGTTTTTCCTTATATAACCTCAGGAAGACGATATTAGAGCGTTATCAGTAATATTTGAGGCCCTAAGTCAACTAAAGAGCAGCTTTCACTCACCTCGACTATTCATATGAGTCACGAGACAACTGCCTAACCTTACCACATTTGATTTCAAGAAAACTCATAGGATATTAAATATGAGGCCCTAAGTCAACTAAAGAGCATTTCCAAAACTCTTTTGCCTCAGGAAAGCACAAACAAAGTACCATCAAGTTCTTTTGTACTTGTAATGAGCTAATAATTGGATTTGAATTGAAACTTAAGACTTAGTGGTGGCTCTATATTATTCACGTTTAAACTGGTTTAAGTTATGTACAGAGTGACTCTAGCTGACCAAACTACATTCGATGCAAAAGTTGTTGGTTTTGATCAAGACAAGGATGTTGCTGTCTTGAGTATCGATGCACCTAAAGACAAACTAAGACCTATACCTGTTGGTATCTCAGCAGATTTGCTTGTTGGTCAGAAAGTGTTTGCTATTGGAAACCCTGTAAGTTTTTCTATTCACTGCCTTCTCCTTTGGGTGTATGCTCACATTGACATATCCATTCATCTTGTATATCCAAGCTCACGCTATTGATTTCTTAAAACAAAAATGAATAATCAAGGATGAAGCTTTCTCTGAAAAGAACATTCCCTTTCAAAATGATTCCAAATAGAAATATTACTGTGTGTTAATTGCACCATACCTGTAACAGCTCAAGTCCACCGCTGGCAAATATTATCCTCTTTGAGATTTCTCTCAAGATTTTTAAAACGCGTCTGTTAGGGAGAGGTTTCCACACCCTTATAAAAAATGTTTCATTCTCCTCTCCAACCGACGTGGGATCTCTCAACACTCCTTCCTTGTCCTTACATGCAATAGTTTCATCAACAAAATTAGTCAAAAAGAGCACTAAAAGTATGAAATAGTTTTATCTACAAAATTAGTCAAAAGTGAACTAAAAGATAGATTTTTGCATCCCAGGTCTTAAAGTTCTGGATTAGTTTCCACATGGTCATCACCTTTTTCATTTAGTCTTGAATCCAGTCTCATCATGGTAGCTTATTATCTCGTACGTTCCCCCGTTTGATATCTAAAATATAATGATTATTGTCTGTGCAGTTTGGACTGGATCATACTCTTACGACCGGGGTAATCAGGTATGAAATCCACAGGTTTTATCATTTACCTTATGAATCCTTAAGTTTGTTCTCTTCATGGTCGCTCAATTGCATAATGGGTTTGGCCTACATGAGATATGCTAATTATATATGTCCAAGCTTCGAAACTGTTATACTAAGCATCCATCTTGCCCATGACAGTGGCCTTCGCAGAGAAATTAGTTCTGCTGCAACTGGTAGGCCTATTCAAGATGTCATACAGACAGATGCTGCCATTAATCCTGGAAACAGTGGAGGGCCACTTCTCGATAGTTCCGGAAACCTTATCGGAATAAACACAGCAATTTATTCTCCATCTGGGGCATCCTCAGGTGTTGGATTTTCAATCCCAGTTGACACAGTTAGTAAACATATGACTATTTTACAAGCTGTTGAAATTCCCTTGGTTTGCACTTAAGAACTCAACTATTCATCAACATTCTGTCAAATTAGGTAAGCGGCATTGTTGATCAGCTGGTGAGATTTGGGAAGGTGACAAGACCAATTTTAGGAATCAAGTTTGCTCCCGATCAGTCGGTCGAGCAGTTGGGCGTAAGCGGAGTGCTCGTCTTAGATGCTCCTGCAAATGGTCCTGCTGGGAAAGCTGTATTGCTTTCATTTCCTTTTCTATTTGCATTCCTATTCTTATACCAAAACACCACCAACCTCAATACTTCAGTTCAAGGAGTTTTGATTGATACACATTATATGCAGGGCCTGCGACCGACGAAGCGGGATGCTTATGGTAGACTTATATTGGGAGACATAATAACATCAGTGGATGGAAAAAAGGTCATGAATGGAAGCGATTTGTATAGAATTCTCGACCAATGTAAAGTTGGTGACAAGGTACTCTGAACTTTCCTATTTGATCTCTTTACTTTTGCTTGTTTGAACTCTTTTAACTTTTGATTAAAGGAGGCCTCATGCTGCTTTTATGTTAAGGTTATGACTATTAGGAAATAATTCAAAACTTGGGTTCATGCTTGAGTGGATCCATAATAAAGTTAACAAAGAGGCTGGTTTGATAGGATCTGATGGGTCCATGCAAACAATAGAAATTTTTTGTGGGCACACATGGTGCCAACTTTCAATAACTTAAGGGACTAGCTAGTCATGTTTTTCTGTTCAAAAAACTAGAGAGAGGTTTAGGGCATGTTTGGAAGATGTTCAAATCACTCACACACGTCTTTAAACATTCAAAATCTATACAGTAATTGATTTTACACATTAAAATACAATCTTTCATGCTATTAAACTTGATTTTGAAGAATTAAAAGTATATTTTAGAGTGATTTTAACCATTTCAAAATCACTCCAAACATGTCATTTGAACGAATTAGTGAATTACTTTGAGAAGTTGAACGAGTTAGTGAATTATTTTGAGAAGTGTTAATTAATCTTCTTAAAGTTTTGAAAGTTTCTTTATCTATAGTATCTTAAAAGTTAAAATATCCTTCTATATTGCATCATCAATCACACTGTGTTGCCAAAATTTGGTTGACTAAATATTATAATACACAATTATGTATCATAATGTGAAATATTAAATGGTTCCATCCACTTGAACCAATGGAAAATTTTCTAAGCTGTGGGTTCTGAAAAAGCCAGCAAGACCCCATGTGATGAAGCCATTACCATAAGATACATTCCCTCGTGATTCTGAACAGTAGCATAGCATGTGGCTTTTAGTCGCATTACATAGCCACAAACCTTTCAATTAGGCTTTCAAATTCTATTTTTGTTCCTAAACTTTCAATTTTTTTTTTTATTTCAACCCTCACTCTGTTTAAGTATTCAATCCTAGTCCCTGAAATTGGGATAAAAAAATTGTAGTTGTTCAAATTTTGTGGTGATGTTAAGAAAAGGAAGGATATGTTTTAATGGATGTTTGATGAATGAGAATAGAGGCTGATGATGGGTAACAATTTGTTTGACGCTCAGGTGACAGTGGAGGTGCTACGTGGCGATCACATGGAGAAAATTCCAGTTATTCTGGAGCCTAAGCCTGACGAATCTTGAGCCAAAAATAGTTTGGGGATTGTTTTTTTATCTGTGTACATTACATTAATCAATATTAATAAGCTGTTTGTAAATAGTCCATTCTGTCTGCCACTCTGATCCTTCCTCACTTAATAATACTTTCCCCTAAATATTTTGCATCGCTTCTTTTTATTAAAAATAAAATCCTCTCCCCAAAAATTAGTAGTGGGATAAGGGGAGTATTGTTGGATAGTACACAAGTTTGTGGATTGTGTCGGCTTTCTTAACCCTGCAGCCAATATGGAGAGATACTAGGTGTGGCGTTGGAGGAGATTGTGGCATCAAATCACTCCCACTTGTACCCACCTTTCTCCAAAGTCCAATCTCTCCCCCACCTATTTCTTTCTAATATTATAATTTTCCTGCCACCTCAATCCATCTCGATCCCTCCAATTACTATTTGAAGACCCTCAGTTTTCTATTCTCAAGTATAGGATTTTTCTTTTTTTTTTTTTCCCCTAAAAAAATATCCATGTTCTAGGATTTTGAATTCAAGTTCAACGATTAATGAGAGACAATCACATAATTGTAGAAATGTTATTTAATTCAAGTTCAACCACTTTTGTCAACTCATCCATCATTGAATTGCTTCCTAGTGTCTATAATATTTATTAGAACTCTGCGTTAGAAGTATGTCAAGAGATGCACTTGGTTAGAACTGAATTCTGTGAAAATTATGCTACCTTCATTAGTATTAGTTTAAGGAGTTTTAATAGAAGAACTAAGAAATCACTAGATTATAGATCAAAGACTATCTAATTTATATGTATACATGTACACACACAAGCAAACAATCCTTTTAAGATCAAAATTCATTGATATATTCTAAGGATTACGATTATGAAAATTGACAAAATAATTCATCTAAATAATTCAATTTAGTAGAACCTGTTGAGCGGCTTAGAATGGAGGTAGAGCTTTGCTCACGGTATTGAGATTAGCCCAAAACCCGACGAGGTCTTGCCGGTACGGAAGGAATGATCGTCTCTTATCTCCTTCCTTCAACATTCGGCTCCTCACGTAAAATAATTCGTGCGCCGATGATTCCTTCTCGACAGAGCCTCTTTTGATCTTCGTTTTTCTGGCGACAGCGTTGGCCTCTGAACAGCTCTTCTTTCCCTTTGTATCTTTGCCTAATTTCTCTGATTTCTCTTCTTTCTTCCTCGTCGATTCTGATTTCGAAGACGGTGTTAAGAAGACGAACAGATTCTTTCCTCCTTCGCTGTTGCTTCGTGGAAGAAAATTTCGGAGCCTCCACCGTCTTGAAGACGACCATCCTGATCCAGTGGACTTGCTCTTCTTGCATTTTCTGCGCTCCGCTGCTTGCACTGGCTTAGGCGTCCAAACGCAGTACGTTCCCGGTGGAATTCCGTCCAATTCATCGGCTTCAGACGACGAAGACGACGGAAGATCACGATCAAGGTCACGTTCCCGCTCGCGATCGTCAAGTATAAGCTTCTCCAGAGAAATCCTAACAGTCGAACCATTTCCATTCTTCAATTCATTAACCTCAGTTCCATCACTCTTCTCCAATAGGTCGTGATTGAAGATAGGAAAAACAGGACTAATCGGACAGTCTAAAACCATTTCTTCCTCAGCCTTATGAAACAAAACAAATTCAAACTCATCCTCCTCACCGCCATCGCCATCTCCGCCCATTCCTTCAAACTCCATGGTAACTCTCGCAGCCGTTTCTGCAGGTCCATCGATAGAGTAGCTGCTGAAGCTTAGACACATATCCAAACCGCCATTTTCTTGCATAGTTGGAGCAGAAGATAGTTTCTCCAAGAAATAACGCCCTCCTTCTTCCTCCGTCTCTTCTGCTTCCATGGCAGCCATTGAAGGAGTTAAACAGGCTGCTTCTTCACATTTATATAAAGGCCGGTTGCTGAAAACAGAAAAGGACATCAAAAAGAGGTAAAATGACTAAATTTAAATATTCACCCACAATTAATTAACTATTATAAATCATTAATAAAATAATTATTTGGTGTGGTTCTATAATTTTTAAATCTTGCCTAAATTTTTATTAAAAATCTTTAAAAAAATCACAGTAATTTTAGAAAATATATTTTTATAAAAAATATATTTATTTCGCTTAAAACAACCCATCAGAAATTACGTAATAAATTGGGTAATTAATTAATTTTTAAAGAAAAAAAAAGTCTGGATTATAAGTCGTAGTACAATAAATTTATATGTATTAAATTTCTTAATATATTAATAATCCCTACAACGTAGTAAGGAGAAATTTCAATAAATTAGCCTTCTTTCTTGCATTATTTTTCAGTCTACTTTAATTAATTAAATATCAATTTTTTAAAAATAATCTCTTTCATTAAATATTATTTATATCCCTACAACCCAATCTTAAATATTATTTTTTTAATCAAATTCTTAATTATTTATGAAGTTGGAATTTTTCTATCCCATTAATTATTTATTTAAAGAAAATAATGATTTTAAAAAAATAATTCAACATGGGAGTTGGGAATTTCAAATTTAATAAATTGTTGGGATTTAAGGAGGGAAAATGCCCATTTAGTATTTATAACCCATTATTATCCTATATTTTAATATCAAATAATTAGTTTAATTTGTTTTATAAGACTTTATTAATTTTTTTTTAAAAAAAAACTATAGTCTATTAAATTGAAATGTAGAACAAAAAAAACTCCTAAAAGGCGAGAATAGTGAAATTTACAAGAAAAAAAATATTTATTATTATTTTATTATTTGAGTATGTCTTGGGAAAAGAAAGTTGACCCATAATCTAAGGTAACTTTTTTAGGAATTGAGATTGATATAATCACACATTAATATAAATTATTTACTCTTTATTTTTTAAAAATACTAAATAATTAGAAATATATATAGATAGATTCAATTTTCTTTTATAAATAAAAGACTTTAACAATTAGTTTGATATATGGTAAAAAAAATTAACTATTTTTAAATTTTATATTATATAAATTATATGAAAAAATGATTTGAAATTATCCAACGATGAAAAAAAGTAGGTGACGATTGGAACTTTTTTTTAATTGGTTATTATAGTGTAAATATGGGTAAAAAAAATGAGAGTTGGCTTATTTAAAATAAGGATAATTTGATAATTATTTTAAATAAAATCTTCCCCTCTTTTCACTATCATAAGTTTCGGTAGATAATATTAAAAATTAAAAAGTTTTAAAATGTACGAAAATAAATAAGAATAATTATTCTTAATTACTGTAAATAATTATTTTTATTTATATCTTCATGATTACCCTGGATTTGTATGTTTTCTAATAAAATTTTAAATAGATCAATTATTCTGTTTAATTTTAGAATTTAATATATATATATATATATATATATTTGGTAACGTTTAAATATTTTAAACAATTTTGAATTGATATTAAAATTAGTAAGGGAAAATAAATGGAGGGCTGAATTTATGGACTAAAAACACCCTTTAATTTGATTTTTTAAAAACTTAGAAAAATAAATATGTTAATTTAAATATTCAATTAATTAATAATAATATGGGGTAGTTTTTTTTTTTTTTAATAAATTAAATGTGTTCAGTTAAAAATAAGACATTTATTCTTGGAAGTTTAAATTTGATTAAATATATGTATAGTAATTAAATTAACCTTTATTATTGATCAAATAAGTTATAAATGGTTTATTAATTACAGATGGTTAACAATTTATCTTAATTAACTAAATATCTATCAAGTTTAAAATGGTTGGGTATCACTTGTAAAATATGAAACATTCAAAGCAGGAGTGGGCATTAGTTGTTACCTCGCTCGCGGCAGATGGCTTTATCATGTGATGCAGTTCGAGATGTTTCAACGGGCAAGGGTAGTGTCGAGGGCATTGAGGTGAGCTTATTGCAGCCGATGGCAAGGCGAAGCGGGGAGCTTTGACGTGTTGTCTCTAGAGGTTAATGCAATGGTCGAAGGGTTGCGGGAGGTGGTTCATTGTTCGATTCACTTTTTTTTGTGACTTGATATTTTATTATGGTTGTGTCGTAACTCAACGTGTTAATTTGAAATTACAAAAACTATAATAAAGTAGTCATTTCAATTAAAAATTAAATACGATAATAACATTTTTTTTCAGTTTCCATCCCAATCGGGCAAGAAAAGTTTGATTAATAGCCATGTTTTTTTTCAACTTGGTTGTCTTCTTCAAATGTCATTTTCATCCGTTTCAATTTTTTCCATCAATCATATTAGACATGTTGAGATATACTGTTTATGAAATATATCGTAGATATTATATTTTAATATTCTTCCATTTATGATTTGATTTTAGAGTATATTTTATTTTATTCTTGTACGTATGAGTTGCTAGCTTGTATCCTAAAGGATATCAATCTCAATGACAATACGCATCTTCCCAATTCTATTTTCTATTTCATTATTAACAAGAAAAAAGAAAAAAAACCGAACAAACTTATTAGTCTTTAATATCCCAATTTAAATTAAAAATTATAAATTTATTTAAATTAATTATATGATCGCACTAATATTAAATTCACGCTATCAATTACATTATTTCAACGTTAAATTAAAAAAAAAATCCTTCATTACAAGACAATTAACTACGTGACCATATTTTCTAAGGTGCCCGAAAAATGATAACTCAATTATCTAACTTGAATTATATTTAATTTTTAAAAAATTGAAAAATTTTCCCATGACATTTTTTTATATTTAATTAATCTAACAAAAAAAAAACTTTTAAAATTATTATGAATAAGAATTTAGTTATTATTTAAATAATTAAAAAAAAACAATCAAATAGGCTTGAGAACTCTCCAAAATATCGCCGATCCAGAAAAACGAGTGCCGATATTTTCAACCGATTAACTCGGGAGCCATTTGGCCTGCCCCAGGGGACCTAGTCCTACGTACCCCCAGCTCCACTTGCACGATCTTGTTACCATTACTATTTTTAAATTAATTTTATTTCTCTTTTTTCTCTCAAAAAAGAAAAAAAAAACGACTTCATTTGCATCAAATTAAAGTCGTATCCATTCATATTTTCTGGAATTGTTGTTAAATTCCAGAAATAAATTAATTCTGTTTTTTTTTTTTTAAATTTATTGTTTATTTTTGTTTCTGTATTTTTAATAGCGGCGACGGCGGGAGATTCGATCCCGGGAACTCAGAGTCAATAATTAGTTGGATACAGAGGGAAAAAAAGAAAGAAAAAAAAGAGGTAATATTCATTGATTCATACTCACTGGAGAGCCCAAATCTGAAGTCTGAACCTTCATCGTCTTTCTCTTCTTGGACTGCAACCTGAAAATCCACTTCGATTCACTTCTCTTTGTGCTTCTTCCACTTTTATTTTCGATTGGAGTTCGTTTTTGAGCTTCTCTCGCCTAACCCTAGGTAACTCTGACATTGTCGGAAAGTCAATTTCTGTGGTATTCTCTCGTCATCTGCTTTCTATCTTCTTATGTTTGATTCCTATCTAATGAGGGTTGGTTAATGTTCGTTTCAGCTGCTTTTCTTGTACGACATGTGTTTGTTTGTACTTTATACTAAAAGGATTCTTGCGCAAGTTGGGGAATTGTGCATCGTGGAGTTTGAATTATGTTGGTTGTTTGTTGGAGTTGAAATCCGTATGTTTGTGGCATTTGAGATTGGTTTTTGGATTGGGGAATTCGGGTTTTTATCAGTGTTTTCTGTGAATTTTAGTTTGAAGATTTGAAAATTGGGCTTGTAATCTTTGTCGAAATTCTTTTCATTTCTATTGTTGTGCTACGGATAGGATGTATTAACTAGTGAGTTATAGGAAATTGGTGAGTCATTCCGAATCCAATACTTGAGAAATTTTGTTTTGGAAACTAGGTTGGATTGGGGGACACGGCCGAAAGAAGTAAACATAATTTTGTATTTGTTTAGTAGATTGGCATTTAATTCCTGCAGTGCTTTTAGGAGAGCGTGCCAAATTAGTCGGGTCATGCATAACCGTGCTCCTAGCCTCTACCATGAGATAACCATGAAGGATTAAGTGTTTCTACTCCCTCTTCTCTCTCCCTTTTTATGTTTTTAAATTTTTTTTTACCTTTTAAATTATTTGAAAAGAAATATTTCAACGTTATTGGAATTTTGGGAATTGGTTAAAATATTGATAATATTAATTGAAGGTAATTGGGATCTTCTGGTTTTACTATGTAAGAGAGGAATTACACTTGGGCTCTTTGACTTTGGCTTTGTTATGATTGTTGATGCTATAAGTAGGTTGGACTTCTAGCTTTCAATAGGTTGCGAGGAATTAGCAGATCAATATTAATACGACCATTATCAAGGTTGGAACGAAGTTGAGGTTTCCGCTTTCCAGGCAAGATGGATGCCATTGCAGGGCGGTGCAGCTAATTTGGCAGGGGGAAGTGAGTGTAAAATTAGGGCATCTTCCTAAGCAAGCCAACATATAAAGGAATGTTGGAACTGGGTGGGATTTCCAAGAAAGATGGAAGTAGTTGGAGTTTGGTGTAGCAAATTTGATGGGGGTTGGTGCGAATGATGAACTTATGCAAGTTGGGGAATCTTCCTTAGCAAGCAATGTATAAGAAATATCATAAGTAGAAGAGAAGGAAAGAGGCTAATTACGAAGTATGTTGGATTTTCTTTATTCCTTCTTTTCTCCCTAAGGGAGATGTTATTATTACCTTTTATCTTTTCATACATTAATGAAAAATGTTTTTGTTAAAGAAAATTACAAGTGTAGCTGCAATGTGGCGGCAGCAGGATATTGCAAATTATGGCCAACTAATTGAAGATGGTGTGGTATATATCTCAATGATTGAGGGTGGCAATGGAAAGGAGCCAGATATTATTGGGTAGGAGTTGGAAGCTGGCGCTAATAGAAGGTTTAGATGATTGTATGGAAGCTGCCATTGCACTTCCATGCGAGGAAGTTCGTGAGAAAGTTGGGGCTAGAGCATCCTTTCAACCTCTTACAATTTGTTATAGTCCCCAATCAAAACCTTATTTTGTTGTCAACTGAAGGGCACCCATTCCAAAAGGATAAAAAAAATGCTGTGAGAAAGTTTTGTCAGAGCTTTTTGTTGAAATATTTGGGAAGAAAGAAATAGAAGAACCTACAAAGAAAAGGAGCTTTATTATCATAGATGTTTTGATGCTATAGTTAATTCGGTTATGACTTGGTGTAAATGTTTTCCCTTATTCCATCCCTATAGCTTTTCCACACTTCTTTCCAGTTGGAAAGGCTTTTCGTAATTTCCTCATTGGGGTTCTCTCCTTCTTTTGTAACTCCATACCATCAATGAAATTGTTTCAAATCTAAAAAGAAAAGAACCTTATCTTGTGGTCAACTGGCAAGCTTTCAAATCTGTCACCTTGAATTTGGGAGGTGGTGGTGCCAATCAATTATCAACACTTGATGCACATCTTGAGCACAAGGTGCATTTGAGTTGGTCATAAACTGGGACTTTGTTAGTCTGAAGATGATTATATGATGGTGGAGTATGTAAGATGGGTTGATGTTAGGAAAGTTTTAGTTTGTGTTGAGCTTGCTCGAGAGGGAGGCCATCCTAGTTCTTTGGATTACATGAGATTATTTTACTCTACTTTTTTGTTCTGTATGGTTTATATTCTAATCTTATAGATCCTGTCAATACTTAACATTCTTAGTTAGTGTGGCTACCAGTCCCTCATGTTTACCTTGTATGGCCTTTGGGCTTAGCTGGCTGTCTGGTGTTTTATATGTGTCAAAATACAGGCATCAGTTGCTTATTCTTTAGACCTGTTAGGATGGAAGAATTGAATGTACATTTGTGTGTTTGCACTTTTGCAATTTCTTCACATATGGTGTATGCTTAATAAAATTCACAAAAGTCATGATTATTAGTAGAATAAGCTGGGAAGAAAATTTGCCGGTTATTAGTTCTCAATCTTGGCAAATCTGATTTAGAAGTTGAAATTTTGTGTAGATTTTTTCACCCTGAACCGTTGCTTGTTGTCTTCGTTTATTTTCAGTTGTGGAAATCTGAAAGCAAGTCTTTGTTGTGAATTTTCTGCATTTCTTTCCCTTTGGAGTTTTTTACTGAACTTGTTCTTTTTTCCCCCCCTCTAATGTGTCTTGTTATTCGTCATATTTATATGGGCAGAAATTTTTTCATTGGTCTTGGAAGCTCTGTTGGTTGTTTGCTGGTAGATGGTCTTAGAACTTAATTTGCTGAAGGCTAAAGAGATGGCATGCTTATTGACATCAACTTTTTGGGGTTCATCAGATGAACTCATTTTCCATTTTTCTTGATGCTGTTACAAGTTATTCACAGTGTCTTGCTGATCTGAGAAAAATGCCGTCAAAATGGGAAATTCCTTACATTGATTTGAAGATTATGTCTTCAGAATATATTTTATTTAGTTTTACGTCAGTTGGGACATCTTTGGGCAAAAAGGGATCACTGCTGTAATGTAAAAGCAAAATTATGGAGAATCCTTCAGAAAAAAAATATCCAGTGAATGCCAAGGATTATGACTTACGTGAAGAAGTTGGTGAAGGTGTCAGTGCCACTGTATACAAGGCACTGTGCATTCCGCTAAATGAGATTGTCGCTATAAAGGTTCTTGATTTGGAGAAGTGCAACAATGACCTTGTATGCTCATCAATCTCTTGTATATTTTTTTTCTCTCAATCTTAATAACACGTTTCTGACCTTTTTCACCCTTTCATATATGGTTTACCTTGCTTCATAAATCATAACTGTATCTTTCAGCAAAAAGTTTATGCATGTCTTTTCTGTAGTAACTTAAATGTTTTATTCTATCAAGTATTCATTGTCATCATACTGGGATCGAGATTCCAAAGGACCATAAGATGTGGAATTATTTTTGTTCTGCATTGATGGTTCTGTAACGTCTGCTCTATTGTGCTTCATGATCTGAACTATTATTTAATGCATTTCACTATTTAATTTACTTAGAAAAAACTTTTAAGGTCACTTTATGAAGGATATCCCTTTGAGGGCATTCTCTGTTCCTCCAGTATTACTCCTATATTTTTATTTTTTATTAGGAACTTATTTTTAGACTTACCTACTCAAAATTTGGAAAATTGAACAAAATCATGTTAAGAAAAGCAGCTAATCCGATAAAACTTTTTTTTTTTCTTTTTAAATTTTTGTACATGAATTGTGTCTTTACAACTAATGTTGGAGGAAATTGTCCAGGATGGTATTCGGCGTGAGGTTCAAACAATGACTTTGATTGATCATCCAAATTTGTTAAGAGCACATTGTTCCTTCACTGCTGGTCACTACCTCTGGGTTGTGATGCCATACATGTCTGGGGGATCTTGCCTTCATATTATGAAATCTGCTTATCCGGAAGGTTTTGAAGAGACTGTTATAGCTACCTTACTGCGGGAGGTTCTGAAAGCTCTTGTTTATCTTCATGCTCATGGCCACATCCATAGAGATGTGAAGGTTGATTTTAGCTTCTTGATCTTATCATATTCTGGCTAAGATATTTTTAGTAACTGCAGATGCTTTCTTTGTTTTCTGTTTAATTGTGCTGCTGGATGCCAATGCAATGTTCAGTGTAAGAAATGATGCTAAATGAGTATTTAACATAAATTGTTCAAAAAACATGTGAAGTGTTAGCAAGTCTAGATTACCTTCATCATGGAGAATGCACTACTTTTTTTCTCTTATAATTTTGTTTTTTTTAAACTAATGAACTTTTCCTGGAGAAGAGCTAATTTTCTTCTTTATCCATATGAACTCCAGTAAGGAGGTGAAGTTAGAGATGATAAAATTTCCAACTCCTTCCTTCCTAAGATACTTGATGATGTGTTGCATTGAACTATATCTCCTCGCAATTGAAACAATGGTAGTGCCACATAAATCTCGAGTTTTCTACTAAACTAAATGTCATTGGATTAATAAATACTGAACAATCTAGCTCATTTTTGTATTTTGCTCTTTGTATGCATTTGAGTTTCTTCTCCAGCATATCAAGACATTGCTCGAGAAGTAATGTTAGGTGATTTTCTCCTTTTCTGGCTAAAGACATTTACAAGCCTTGTTTTGTGGCAGGCTGGGAATATTTTGATTGATTCTAATGGTACAGTGAAATTAGCTGATTTTGGAGTCTCGGCGGGCATGTTTGATACTGGAGATAGGCAACGCTCAAGAAACACGTTTGTCGGAACTCCTTGCTGGTAACCTTCTATTCCTCACTTCTGTGCCTTAAGTTTTTTGGGTTGTTCTGTTCCTCCTAGAGCTAGAATTAAAAAAATGAATGTAATTCTGGAGATTTCCTTTTTTGAAATCCTCAGGATGGCACCTGAAGTTATGCAGCAATTACATGGATATGACTTCAAGTGAGTGGATTGTTCATCTGCATGTGATGTGATATCTCATAACTTATATTATAGTATTTCTTTTCTTGTGATTTGTGTCATGCAGAAGGGTAAGCTAGAAGTTTTCTTTTTCTGTGATATGCTTTCTTTTATATATCTTCTTCTTCCTCGCTGCAATAGGGCAGACATTTGGTCATTTGGAATAACAGCTCTTGAACTGGCTCATGGGCATGCTCCATTTTCCAAATACCCACCAATGAAAGTATGTACTCAATGTCCTTATCAGTTTTTCCATGAACGTGTAAACTTGTGAAATTACTGATGCACACGACTGGTGTAGTTGTTTAAGTTAAATTTTCTTATGTCACTTGTACTTTGGCTTTATCATTGTTTTCATTGAACGTGGAAACCTTGTGAAATTAGTCTACGACTGTTGTAGTTGACAAAGTTCAACTTCTTTGGCATTACAGGTTTTGCTTATGACACTACAAAATGCTCCTCCTGGTCTTGACTATGAAAGAGATAAGAGATTTTCCAAGGTACGTAATCCCGTAGGGAGCTTTAAATACCCTCTGAGTTGTATAGTTATGTTCATCTTTTGTTATTTCAGGATCTTCCCGTATATTTTTCTATCCCTTCTCTTGTTTATATCTTCCTTTTGTAATTACAATTTCTATTCCCAAAAAAAAAAAAAAAAAAAATTACTTCAGTCGTTCAAAGAAATGGTCGCCACATGCCTAGTGAAGGATCCAAAGAAACGGCCAAGTTCAGAGAAGCTCCTAAAGCATCCTTTTTTTAAACATGCCCGTTCAGTTGATTATCTTACTCGAACAATCCTGGATGGCCTTGCTCCGTTAGGGGAACGTTTTAAAAAGCTAAAGGTCTCAAGCTAATCTCAGGCCTTTTTTTTATCTGCATTGTTTACTCTCTGGAAGATATGGATAGTTTGTTCAACCGTTTGTCTTGCCATATCGTCCTTACAGGCAAAAGAGGCTGATCTTCTGGTACAGAATAAGGCTCTGTATGGGGACAAGGAGCATTTGTCACAGGTGCAAATTATAGAAACTCATTATCTGTTGCATAGTTTTGATATTGTCTGGAGCCTTTGGGCTTTGGCCCCTAGATTTTAAGTGTGTTGCACTCAACACAAAAGCACGTGCTGAATCATTTTTTCCCTAATCTTTTCTTTCCTATTAAATAATATTTCATTAAAGTGAGAAGAAAGTACGTAAGAGAAAGAAGGCATCAACGTCAAGCAACCAAAAGAATAACAAAAAATTCCTCCAATTAGTGTTAAAGATTGGATAAAAGAACACCCTCTTTAGAGCTAACGAAATGATTTATGTCCTAAACTTCGCAAAATTGCTGGAAGTATCTTGTAGATTTTACAATTCTTTCAGATCAAATCTCTCCAAAAATTGCAAGCACCACATTTTCCCTAAAAAGATTAGCTTTTTTTTTTTTTTTTTTTTTTTGGGTGGGGGGTGGACAATTTTATCAATAAATGAAATGGAGGGGGAAATAATGAAACTTATGAGACCATTCATTGAAGAAAATAATTTGATAACATAAGAGAAAACAGGTATAACTAGTTTTCCAATCCTGAGTATTTATGCAACTCAAGTACATGAATTGAATTTACCTCATTGTGCTGATTGTAAAAGTTAGTATCTGCCATTCGCTTCGTGTTAGTGTCATCTAAATTCCATTATCTTGCACAGCAAGAGTATATTCGAGGAATTAGTGCCTGGAACTTCAACCTTGAGGATTTGAAGAATCAGGCTGCCCTTGTAAGTATCAATATTGTTGGTTTAGCATGTTCATATATTTATCAGTTGCTTGTAAGAATGGTTACTGCAGTCATCCTTTCATTTTGACTACTGAGCTTCTTGCAGATTCAAGATGACGATATGTCAAACATAGAAGACCTAGATGTACATACAACAAAGCAAAGAAACCAGAATAATGATTTTAGTTTTCCAGTAGAGGGTTCATCTCTTGAAAGGCTGAATCACCCAACTGCTGCAGCTAGTCAGGAGGTTTTACTGTCTACTATAACCTTTACTAAAATCATTTGTTATGGACATGGAAAAACTAGAATTTGTTCTCTGAATCAATAGCGTGAATAGTCTGTTGACTATAATCAAACATTTTCTGACATTTTTTTTTTTCCTGTTCTTTTGTTTTAGGATGGTTTCAGTGATCTTCATGATTTGGAGAGTTCCCTTGCTTCTTTTCCTGTAAAACCTCTTGAAGCACTCAAGTATGGTTATTTTCTATCCCCCCCACCCCAAAAAAAAAAATATATATATATATATAGTAGTAATAATAAATAAAAGAAAAAATGTCGTTAAGTTATTCTGCAATTTTTATAGGAACATCTATAGTAAATAAACTTGAAGCAATAAATTTTGAACTCTCAACAATTTGTCAATCTTTCATTTTATATTACATTCCTATTTTACTTTATAACTTTTTTAAAAACGTGAGGTGAATTTTGATCTGATAATTTAAGGAAAAATCGAAGTGACAGTTTCTCTTTATTGTAATATTGTGTCTTGATACGCGGATGCAGAGATTGTTTTGACATCTATGAAGATATAAGCACAGACAGTGTATGGCCAGTGGATAAAGAAAATGGAAGAACCGAGGGTGAGAGTTCAGGGCAAAGTGGTTCCTTACCTCGTCATTACATGTCAGAGAATAAGAGGTCTTTCAGCGGCTCACTAATTTCTGACAATGCTGTCTCTCCTAAAAAGATTATTGTAGATGGTGATAGGTATGCTTTATTCTAATTTACACTATTGTGAATGCATTATATTTTCCTTGTCGTGGTTTTATAGTTCCAGCAAAGTCACCATCCATCTGCCCTTACTCTCTGTATTAGATAATAAGCTTGTTACATGAGGATGGGCTTTGTTTGATCTACTTGATTTTTGAATTTTTTGCTTCAAGTTTGAATGGATTCTTATTTTCTTTTCTTTATCTTAAGTGCGAGGGATCCTTTGCCATCCCCTCACACAACAAACGCCCTTAAGGCTAAAGACAAAAGGCAGCCGGTATCTTAATGGATTCTATGCTGTTTCTCTTAATTTTAAATTTGAGAATGAGCTTTATCAGTTGAAGATACACGTTTTCCTTTGGTTTGTGAAATGTTTCTGTTTTGGATGTTCACAATGTGGTTTAGGCAAGTCTGACCTTAACTTTTTTTTTTTTTTTCAAACTTCAACAAAGGGACTATTTGCAGTCAAAACTTCCATCTGAGCGTAATTACAGTGGTCCATTATTATATCGCCAGAAAAGAGATACAAATAACGTTTCATCTGGTATGTTCTTTGGCTTCTCTATTCCTCTGGGCTTAAATTAGTTCATATTAACAACTTTAAGGTCATAAAATTCTTACATATCTTATTCAGTTGAGGATACATCAGATGGAACAGTTGTCCAACGCAAGGGGCGGTTTAAAGTGACTTCAGCAGAACTTAGTCCGAAGGTATTTTTGCATTTACTTTGAAATCTTGTACAAAACTTAATTGCCTTGCAGGTTTGAATCATGTGTAGAAGGGAAGTATTGCAGAGATATAATTTTAGTAATTTGCAGCGTGTTTATCTGTAGTGAATAGGCCCATGATATAAAGCATACGGACTATTATCCTACCTTTTTCCTTCGGAAACCATCAAGTTTAATCCTCATTGTATTTGACCTATTATGGACCATGTTAAGGATAAAAAAAAAACTTAAAGGTCAGGTGGTTTGGTCTCTTCTTTCTTCTTGTGCTGTTTGAATATTTTCAGAACTATGAACTTTCTTTTGCAATTTTTTGTTATGCTCGTGAAAACATGCTGGCTTCTCAAGTTCAAGATAAATTCCTTCGTTATTGTGATTTTTGAATGATTTATTTTGAAAAAATTTAGCAAAATTCTGACATTAAGATGTTTATCTTTTCATAGGGGTTAATTCGCTTCCTTTTAAGTTTATTTGTTGGAGTGAATAAATCCAGTCCTTGATTTCGTTGCCTGTTATTTCCATTTCATGTCACGCATGCTGATCATGCTTTGCTTTTGCAACTGATTGAATACCTTGTATTTCCATCTGCATTATTGACTATACTTGAGTCTCTTGGTGCTTTTGATTGGTTGAAATTCTCCCCCATAAAATCTATTCCTGCTTTAAAGTGAATTTTTCATCATATTAATCTTCAACTCATTTTCCACTTTATCAATTTGGGTTTGTGAGGGTATGACTATTTTGAGCTACTTGAGCAAATTATTTCGACTTCAAACATGCATCTTTAAGCCCTTTTTTTTTAGGGGTAAGAAACTGGTCTTTCATTTAAAGAAATGAAAGAATCTAAAAGGGCATACAAAAAAAAAAAAAAAAAACAAGCCCAATAAAAAGTAGAGACCCATACCAACTACAATAAGGGACTCCAATCCAACAAAATTGAACTAAGATCCTAATTACAAAAAGGCCTAGGGACGCGCTCAAAGGGACACATCAAATCTCATCCCTCTTAAATCTCAACAAACGGCCACTCCATCTCTCTGAAGTTCTTATTGTTCTTCTTGAACCAAACTCCGGACAAAATAATAAAGCTAGCAAGCCAAAAGTTTATGCAGAATTCGAAGTATGCCACCTTTTCTAAGAACAGGTGGATTTTTACTTGTTATTTTGATTTTATACCATGCATGTATTCATGTTCACATTTGGGTTTCGTGCACTTCTGAATTTATTGACTTTTTATGAGGCTCTTGGTACTTTTGATTGGTAGAAAATTTCCCGTCAAATTTACCATTGCTTTTAAGTGGACTTTTGATCTTACTAGTTTTTATCTTATTTTCTACCAATCGATTTGGATATTGTATATGCCTTGGGGATTTGTGCACTTGACTTCTCATATCACCAATGAACTTAGACATTTACCTTTTAGGCAATGGCTTTGTATCCATTGCCATTCTGTTTTTGTATTTAGGGTCCTATGACGGGATCATTTAGTCCAGTCTGTGGAGGGACGGTAAGTCCAACATCCATGAACCTCACACCTGCTCTACTCCTTCCATCGATGCAATGCATTTTGCAGCAGAACATCCTTCAACGGGTCTGTTTTTCTCCCCCTTCTTGTTTGTATTTGCAGTGCTTCAAAATAATTTTCTTATTTCTATCATTATTTCTGACAGGAAGAAATTGTTAAATTGATCAAGTATTTGGAACAAACAACTGGTATTTTTCCTCTTTTTGTTATTATAATTGGCTTTTTGGCGCATTTTCTTATACTATATTTTTGACTCACAGGCAAGAATCCAGATGTATCAGAGACGGTCACCAGTGACCTTCTGCAGGTACATAGATGAACTTGATTTCCTTGTTAATTTTGAAAAAAGCCGCTCAGTGGTACATAGTCGAGTTTGTATTTTTAAAAAGAAATTATGAAAAAACCAACTTTTATTAGGAAAAACGAAAGAACACACAAGGGTAATACAGAAAAACTAAAGGAGCAAAAAACAAACAAAAAAAAGTAACAAACTGGTAACTATAGAGAAGGCTCCAATTTAAAAGGACAAGAGATAAAGCGTAGAAATCTTTAGTAATTGAGACCAAGAGGGAGGAACTGAACCTAGTCAAGACCCAAACCAACCCCCGAGAGCTTTCCACATCTTTTAAATACCCATAATTGAGGTATTTACATGATTTTCCATTACTGGATTGCGATTTTTCTGTACAAAGGAATAATGAAGAATAATCGGCATGATAACAATAAATATCATGTGTGCCAAGCTGATTGCGTCAGTCTTCTTTCCAAATTATCTGAGGGGAAATCGGCTTTGTTCTTATATTTGATGCCAAAGGCTGCCGGATCATGGTCATGGCTCTTATCGAATGCAGTTATTTGTGCTTTTTATGTGACATTTTCTAGGCTACTTCATCTAATGATAGTTTCAATGTTGACCAGACACCACCGGCTACCTTGAGGGAAAGAGAGTTACAATCTCAGGTCGTTCATCTGCAGCAGAGGTATAATTTTAAGACCAATCAATTCAATTTACCGTTTATGTTTTTAACCAAATTTTCATGAACCTAATGTTCGATTATTTCTAATTTCAGACTTGATCGTCTTGTTGAAGAATTAGAGGAGCAGAAGTTGAAAAATGCCGAGGTATCATATCATAGTTGATTGGAAACTCAATCTTATTATGTTTAATTGCCTTGAATTTGGTGGGCTTTCTGATGAAAGCAACCGGACTTTATGTATTTCCCTTTGGTTTTCACAGTTCGAAAGACACATGATTTCTATGCAAAATAAAGAGAAAACATAAAAGAAAGCACATGAAGCACAATGGGTAGACGTCCAGATGCCTTCCTTCCTTGATTATTCTTGTAGCTATTAATGTGTGGCTGTCTCTGTCTGCAAGAAATTTCAGTGGATGATATGAGCCAATCGTTATTGTATTTGTAGTGTACTATAAGTGATGCCAAAAGGCAGACACCGAAAATTTTGTGTTCTTTAATGTATTTCCTATGTATCTTGTAATGCTGATCGTGTAATATATTGCAGTTTCTGTTTTTTTCTTGCTTTCTCACACTCCTCATAACGAGAACAGAATAATGAATGATATTCCAAACGAATAGCATTAAAATTTGCCATTTTTTGTTGCTTCAATGATGCAAAAGCTTGAAATTTTATTTAGCCTACATTTTTGCAAGAGCATGTGATACTGTTTATTATAGAGTTATGCTTTTATAAGATTAATTATGCTAGTATAGTTGATTTTAAAAAATATGATTTTGCACTTTCTTATTATGCCCTCTTTTCTCAGACTCCACCATTCCACCATGCATTTCCAACCACAGTGGGCTACAATATGAAAGCAAGCCACTGAGTCACTAATGGGTGGCTTTAGAACCTTCCATTGTAGTGCTTGTCGTGAACCACGTTTCATTCTCCAACAAACAGGATAAGATATTACATCTATTCTTAAAGTTAGATGTTTGAATCTTCACTGATACATCGTTAACTAAAAAAAATAGAGCTAATTCACACAATTGAAATCTCATTCTCGTCTACTATCTTAGGTCATTTGCCAATAAAATCGTCAAAACCCCACCAAAAAAAGGTCACAGAAGTAGGAATATAAATATGTATCTTACTGAATGTGAACAAAACGAGGGTTTAAGCAGCAAAAGTCAAATATTACCAAAGTTTATTCTCAGACACGGCAGTGACAATGCCTCTCATTGTCTCCTGCAAAACAGGAAGAATCCAATTAAACTTATTCAATTTACTAAGTCTGGAAAAAATAACATATTTGAGTAATTACCACAGAATGGTCTTTTAGGCCAAGAGAGATTAATAATGGCTTGTATGAACCTGATAAACTGCATAAACAAAAGAAATAATTTCAGCATGTTATTTGAATGTGGCTATCTTGATGGGACGTCAAATGTTATATGCTTCAATATTCAACACATCAATAAATGTATTCTAAGAATTCTACAAGTGGGTCTACATCAAGTAAATGTCTAAAGTAGTAGTGAAAAGCCCTTGCATTGCCATAAAGTTCTCCCTCAGAGAAAGTGGAATTGCCAAGCATCACCACAAAGTCTACCCATCTAGTTAGTCAAAGTTCCCACTCCAAAAAGTTAAGGACCTTAACTTTGCACTGTATATATTTTGAGGCTTCAGAAATAAACAATGGGTTGAAGGAGATGAAAGTCATCCTCTCTTCTTGTAACAGCTTAAGCCCTCCGCTAGCAGATATTGTCCTCTTTAAGCTTTCACTTTGAAGCTTCCCCTTAAGGTTAGGAGAGGTTTCCACATTTTCATAAGGAATGTTTCGTTCCCCTCTCCAACCAATGTAGGATCTCACAATCCACCCTCCTTAGAATCCTAGCGTCCTCGCTGGCACTCTGTTTGGTGTCTAGCTCTGATACCATTTGTAATAAAGAAAACATTCCTTATAATATGACAAGTTTTAAGCTCTATAGTTGGATCTCTCATTAAGCCTTAAGCCATGTTAAAGAAGCTTTAAAAAGCGTCTCCAGTAGAACACCCAGCAAAGCTAAAAGACACCAAATAAGGAATGTAGCATTTCCATAAATCAGAGTCTGACAAGTCAAGATCCCAAACATTAAGACAGGTTATCTACTTAATAGAAATATAGCACGTTTCGGTTATTGTATACATTATCCACAGATTTCCAAAGAGCACATGCACACATGCCCAGAAGTCAGATCAGTTCGATGATGTTGAATTGGAAGGTTTACCTGATCTGTTCGATCAACTGACGTGCACATGCGACCAGCATTGGCTGAAAATTCCATGTATCAATCGCAGCATTATTCATTAACAAACTACTATAATGTAGCTGACTTACCTCATCTCTTTTGCCAAAAACGGTAGACACTGAGAAGGTTGAATGAATTGCCATCCCCTCCTCCTTCCTGCGGATTGTAACATATAGATGTCTAAGAAGCTTCTAATATAGCATAACAAAATAAGCATAAATCATTAGTTCCAATAACTTGGGAAGTTAATTTCTTTGAGCTTTCAAAAAATTTCAGCAATATTTAAGCTGAAAGCTATGAAGTGTTACTCGTCCAAAAGAAAGTCTACGAAGTGTAATGGTTGTGATCTTAATTGATGGAAGTTTGATTGCGAATATGTGTATTTGAGGGTATAGAATCGCTTAACTTTGCAGAAATGACCAGTAATTGCTCACCTCGCTTGCAGCATAGTCCCCATTGCTCCAATTTGAGTTGCAATAACCTTCAAATCAGTTTCAAACATCAGATATGTAAAGAACACACACTAATAGATACCAAAATCCCCATTTCCCCATCCTCCTCCAAAAAAAACATATGCACTCGTAATAACATAAAACCGAACTCATACTGACAAGAAAATGATCGTCGTGGCGACAAACGACTATATCCGTTTTGATTCCCTGAAAGCAGAAGACATATGAATGAGATTACTAACTCCCTGAGCTAACCAATGATGAATAGTAAAGTGCCCTGAAATTGAACTAGAACATAGGCAATGAAATCCACAGATGTTCAAAAAATATACAATGACAGGCGTTGAATCTTGCAAGAGATGTATTGGTTCATCAAAATCAAGTAACTATCGATGAAAAACAATAAGCCGCAAGGAGGATTTGAATCAAGCATTATATTCAAATGATTAATACAAGCAGGAAGAAGCAATTTAATTTCGGTAAACATCCTGCATATCCCTAACTCGAATTCACCAAAAATGAGAACAAATTCACCATTTAAAACCTCAAATCACTTAACCCCACTTTAAATTTGTTTCCGTATCATCCAAATTCAAGCTTCCCTATCTGCAACTCGCAGACGAATCACCAGTTTATTAAAGCCAATAAAACTAGCTGCGGCATTTAAGCAAACAGGTTGTGTGCAAACGCGAATCCTTTAAATTAAAATCAACCCTTGAAAACACCGCTGCTACAGGGAAAATCACAACACCCTAATCCCGAAATCTTTCAAGGACTGAAGAGGATGGATTAATTTAATCCAGAGAAAGTAATCCATACCTTGATTTCCAATGAGGCCTGCTTGTGGGAAACCGGAAAGCGAGTACCACCCGAGCTTTCCATGCGGGAAGGAAGAGTCAAAGTGTTCTGACTAGGGTCAAGTCAATCAAGTTGCTTTGCTCACCAACTCTTGAACTTTGAAGTCGATCCACCTGCCATTTGTTTTTCTCTGTTCTTCTAGTTCTTTAAACACTGCCCTTACAATTTATTTATTTATTTTTATCATTTTTATTATGTCAAACCATTTTTTTATTTTCTTTCTTTAAAACATTTTCAATTTAAAATTTAAAAATAAGTTATATATTTGATTAATTAAATTATACTTATAATTATTCACCTACCAAACGAGATGAATCACACTAAAAAAACGAGTATGACTTAGTAATCAACAAAATTTTAGTTACACGCGGTTAGACTTTTTCTACACATTTAATAAACTTTATACTTCAATTTTTATATAACATTTCATCTTTTATAAATAAATCTTCTTTTAATTAAAAAAAGACAGCGTAGATGTGAATTGGCAAACTAAACTTATATTTTTTTTATTATAAATATGAAAGGGAGGAGTATTCGTATGATCTAATTACCTAAATAACTTGAATTATACCATCCAAAACGACACTTCATAAATTATCTCTAAACTTTTTAATATTACTATAGAAGGTTTATAAATAATTTTGAAAGTGGTATTAAAAATAAAGGATATTTTTTTATGTTTTTAAAAAAATGTTTATAACTGTTTTTAAATTTTTTTAAAAAAGTGACGAAACTTTTAAAAATTAAGGAAGTATTATTAAAAAATTTAAAAATTTAAGAATATTTTTGAACCAAAAAATAAATTGTGCTTATTAATTTAGATATATATATATATAGTATTGATTTATTTAGTGTGTGCTTGGTTTCGGGGAAGATGGGGTAAAGAGAAAATTATGAGATTGGGTTGGCCCGACGCGCAATAATTCCAACTACTTTGAAATCTTTATTATTATTCTTCCGCAGTCTAAATTGAACCTCAACGAACCCAATTTATATATATATATTTGTCTCCTCCGGTGGGCTCTGTTAGTTTTGTTATAAGTAAGTGAAAATCCACGCAGCTGTCCACCACGAACAAATTTTCTACCTCCCAATTTCTCTCTCTAGATTTTCAGTGTATTCGGCGGAATGGGGGTTGTAGTTCGTTACGAAGAGACTTTCGTATCGGAGTTGGAGCGGTGCCGCCGCATGCTCGTCGCCTGCGCCGGTGTTCAGAGGAGGAAAGGCGGCAAGGAATTTAAAAGCCTAAAACCGAAGCCGATCGACGATGCAGATGAGAAGGTCGTGTGTGTAACTAGCGGCGTTTCGTTTCTCGGTTCCGCCATCGTCAACGAGCTATCACTTCACGGATACTCTGTTCGAGTCATTGTTGATAATCCTGGTGTGTAATTAATTAATTGAAGTTCTTTGATTCTTCATTTTGAACTTGAATTGATCAATTTCATTTGCTAATGATTCAAATCGAAGTGGAATGTTGAGTTGTTATTTTGAGACTAATGGAATCCCTAAATGGCAGAGGATGTGAACAAATTGGAAGAGACGACGAGCGGCCGCCATAACGTGACGGTAGTTGTAGCGGATCTTACAGATGTAAATAGCTTAGTGGAAGCCTTCAATGGCTGCCGTGGCGTTTTTCACACCTCTTCCTCCATTGATCCTTCTGGTGTTTCTGGTTACACGGTGAGGGCTTGTTCTTTACTTTTCTTGGAACGAAAGTTTCTGCCATTAAATGAACTCTCACATCCCTGTCTTCATCGCATCATATAGGATAGTTTTGATTTCTTTTCATTTGCTTTAGAGCCTCGATTGCTTTCATTCTCAACCATCGCTTCCATGTTCAAATCTCTATCACGTCATTTTCTCCTTAATTAATACTGATTTCATTGGTTGAACCTTCTAAAAATTTCTGGAAATTCTGAAGCATTCATATAATATAGTTGGACTGGCATCGCTACCGCTAATTGAACTAAGAACTCAGAAGAATATGAATTCATAAGTTTAGTCCTGCTTTAAATCCTGCTTTTGTAATTGTTCATGTTTTGAATTTTGTCTAATGCAATAGATCTAAGAACTTTTGAAAATATCAAGGTTTCGATGCTTTTGAAGTGTATTCTAAAGATGTTTTGGGGGTTGGACATTGGTACAGAAAGTAATGAGCGAAGTGGAAATGAAGACGACTGAGAATGTAATGCAGGCGTGCGCAAGAACAGAGACCGTACGAAATTGTGTTCTTACATCTTCTCTTCTTGCTTGCATCTGGCGGGACCAAGCTGTTGAAAGTGAAAGCATTGGATCCTCACGAATTGTCGACCATGCCTGCTGGAGCAGCTTACAGCTTTGCCAAGACAAAAAGGTCAGTCCATTTCTTTCTCCTTGCTTCATCATTAACAACATGATTTCTTCTTCTTCCTTCCTTAAGAACATGATTTCTTCTTCTTCCTTCCTTAAGAACATGATTTTTCTTCTTCCTTCCTTAAGAACATGATTTCTTCTTCTTCCTTCCTTAAGAACATGATTTCTTCTTCTTCCTCCCTTAAGAACATGATTTATTCTTCTTCCTTGAGAACACGATTTCTTCCTCTTCTTCCTTGAGAACACGATTTCTTCCACTTCTTCCTTGAGAACACGATTTCCTCCTCTTCTTCCTTGAGAACATGATTTCTTCTTCCTCTTCCTTGAGAACATGATTTCTAACAAAGAAGTTTGATTATTATGCAGCTATGGTTTGCATTGGGGAAACTGAAATCAGAGAAAGTGGCATGGAAAATAGCACAAGAAAGTGGGCTAAAACTAGCCACCATCTGTTCTGCATTACTAACTGGCCCCAACTTCCACCGCAGAAGTTCAACTGCAACGATAGCTTATCTCAAAGGTAAGACTTCAAAAGCCATCGAAAAAGAATCTAAAACTTCAACATCTATATGCGTACATATTAAAAAAACTCAAGACCTCCATTAATGTCAATCCAGGAGCTCGAGAGATGTACACAAATGGTCTACTGGCAACGGTGGACGTGACCAAATTAGCCAAAGCACACGTCTGTGTGTATGAAGGAATGAAGGAAAATTCTTCCAGCAGATACATTTGTTTCGACCGTGTGATTTCAACTCCGAATGAAGCAACGATGTTGGCGGCAGAGATCGGAGTCCCAGTTGGGAGCATAGTCCAAACCACTCCTCCAATCGACTCTCCGGTTTCGTTTCAACTGTCGAACAAGAAGCTGTCTGATCTAATGTTTAGAAGCAACCTTCAACGTAGCTGCTTGAATGAACACACATCTTCTTGAAGGATGAATTCCAGGGTAAAAATATAGGAGTGGCATTTATTTATTTGATTAATATGATATAAATAGTCCATTTTTTATTACTTTGTTTATACATATTGAAGAGAGTGAGAGTGCAATTCTTTTATTACTCCTACAACTTGTCTCTGTAAAAAAAAGAAAAAATATATATTAATCATTTATTCGTTCGAGTAAAATGGAAGAAATGTGACCGTGATTAAAAAATATTAAAATAATGGAAAGCTATGGTGGTCTAATATTTAATTATACTAACTTTAAAATTAAAATAGGTTTGGTTTGGAAAATTATTGAAAATACTTTGTGGGTCTAATTACAGTTAATTGTCAATTAATTCAGAAGCTGTAATTTTAGATTCTCCTAAAAATCAGTGCATGAAATAAAATAAGATATATATATATATATATTATATTATATTAGTATTTAAATAGGAGAAAAGTGGAAAGGCAGGTTTTGGAAGACAGAAGCAGTTCCCAATATTCGCTGTCACTGCCATCGGTACTCTGTGAATGTTTCTTCTTCTTCTTCTTCTTCTTCTTCTTCTTCTTCTTCTTCTTCTTCTTCTTCTTCTTCTTCTTCTTCTTCTTCTCTCTCTTCTGTTTCTCTCTCTTCAAAATCCATGAATGCTTCGCGCACATTTGTATGCTGAATCCAACGTCACTTTCGATTACCATAATTAAATCTTTTTTTGTTTGTTTGTATTTTCATATATCGCACAGAAGACAGAAAAACCGATTCCACAACCACTTACTCACTCGGAAACAAGAAGATCGATCCCGAACTCAGAAACTTTTCCGGCAACCACCAAGAAATCTCCGACGTTCCTCTCCTTTCCGGTCAGTTTTCCGATCGCTTTGTTTATTTAGGGTTTCGCGTCTTTTCTCAGATGCTCTGGTTTCATCTTCAAATTAGTTTTAATGTTTGTTATTGAATTTCAAATGCAATTCAAATCATATATTATTATTATTGTTATTACATTTGTAGTGTTTTCTTCTCAAATATAGAAATGCTGACTATATCCAATTAAAATCTTTCTATATATATATATATATATATATATTTGTTGGAAATCATAATTTTATTTTCAAAACGATATATTTCTTCAGTTTCTTGAAAATTAAACTCATTTAAAAAATAAAAAAAGAATAATAATTTGTGTGGTTGGATATGGGAGCGTTTTCTTTTCCAACATAGGAAATACTGGCCATCCAATTAATTTTTTCTTTAACGTTTTCTTTTTTAAATAATTCATTTTCTTAATTTTCTCAGACAGAATATACCAATTATTATAAAGTTATAGTTAACTATTCTTAACTAAAAAAAATATAGACCATAAAATAAAATAAAAAAATAAAAAGGGTAATATTATTTTAATGAAAAATAAAGAAATAAAATAGGAGTAATTTGGGTGGGCTATCCCAGTCATGAAGTTTGATGACCCACCATCCCATGTGTAATCTTATCCATTTAAAACTAAATATATTATTTGGTCATATTTTTTAACCTATTTTTGTGTGTATTTTTTTCCATTTATTTTACTTCCTAAAATGATTAAATAAGAGAGAACAGTTTTTTTTTTTTTTTAATTTTTAATTTCCTAGACTACATTCTAAGCGTTCATCTAAATTTCTTGCAGACTCTGATCAAGAAATCAGAAAAAGAGAATTCAAATATGGAAAAAAACTCATCTCAACCCACACGGCGGCAGAGATTCGCCGTGGACGACGGCGCCGATCTAATAGACTGCTCCGGCAAGCATTGCCAGTCGTGCACCACCGGCTTGGTTGCGGACTGCATCGCCATCTGCTTATGCCCATGCTCGGTTGTCAGCTTCTTGGCTCTGGCTCTCGTCAAACTTCCGTGGATGATCGGGCGGCGGTGTCTGCAGCAGAGAAGGCAGAAGAGGAAATTGATTGGGCGGAGAGGAGAATGCGAGGGCGGTGGTGTGGCGGCGGAGAGTGGTGGGCGTGCAGCGAGTGAGGAGGGGCTGCCGCCGGGTTTCGGAGAGGAAGAAGCAGAGAGAATTTGGGTGCAGTTGGGGTTTGGAAGAGTTTCCTTCACTGGGAATACAAATTTGTAAAAGGTTACAAATTATCTAAATTATTATTAATTTTGCATTAATTTAGCCTTTAAATTCACTAAATATGCTATAAATTTATAATAATTTAATTTAAATTTGTAATAATCTAAACCTTATTATAAAAAATCTCATCAAAATTAAATGTTAATTATATGTTTTTAATGAATTAAGTTCTGTAGTATATAAACACGTTTAATCCCATAATTAATTGATTAAATTCTATTAAAGTTTTATATTTTTTTTGGTGTAGCAACTAAATGGTTAGGAAATTTTAAATAAAATAATAAAATTGTTAAAATATATATATATATTTTTGTAGACAATAAATAAGAGCGGAATCCACTATCCAGGCGACCATTGAGCATCGAGACTCGAGAGGGATAGAAATCGTATGAGGAAAGAGCTTCTTGCGAAGAATCGACTACAGAGACAACGATGGAGGATCAACCGACTCGAATAATGCTTGCAGTGAATCAGTCAACCATCAATGGCTATCCGCACGCATCCATAAGCTGTAGAAGGGCCTTCGAATGGACTCTCCAGAAGATCGTTCGCTCCAACACCTCTGGTTTCCACTTGCTCTTCCTCCATGTCCAAGTTCCTGACGAAGACGGTTCGTTCTCCGTTTCCTCTCGATTTTTTTACTCTCATATTCTTTTCTTTATGCCCTCTTTTCCTAATGCTGATCGATTATGTGAAATGCGATGCTATTCTGTTGGTTATTTCCTGTTTTGCGGAATCTTGAGCTTCGTTGGATGAACTTCGACCTTTAATTTGATCATTTTTTGGTTGATTGGGAGCAGAGAAGGGATGTGTTTCTTTATAAGAAGGTGCTATTTCTGCTACCGCCCTGTCGTCTCGGCTGATCTGAAAATTTTGTAAATTAGTTGTTAAGATATCCAGTGATCGCACTGATGATTGGTTTATATGATTTTCTTGTACACTATGGATTCTCTGTTTTAAATTTCTTGAAGTTTCGAATCTATAAATAAGAAACGAGCTTCCTCTGCCTTCCTCTTGATGTATTTTTCCTGATACGTGCAATATTTAGGTGATTGAGTTCTGATGTATTCGTTTCTTCCTGGTAATTGATTCAACCATCTTTTCCATTAACATCTTTGGAGAAAGACTAATGCTATTTCATCTGTCCAATCGTCAAGGAACTTGTTAACTTCAAAACATCCAAATATGACCAAAACATTCACAAACCAAATGCAAGCTCAAGCAAGCCCGTGCATCAAATTGGCAGAAGTGTGGTGTCTGATTATCTTACATAACATTGAATTTAGGATGACTCCTGAGAAAAAGTGTTTTTTAGGTTACTTCTAAAAGAGCTTATAGAACATATAAGAATTAAGTGTGTCTTGTTATATTACTTTTACCCTCTTCATGGATTTTTTAGATTCGTTGGCCATTTTTGAGGAAGACTATCTCCCATTTCACAAGATAATGGTTATTGGTTCCGTTAGTAGGTACTATACTATCATTTGAGGAAGTGGATCAATTTTTTTTTTTTGCAGTATTAGTATAATGCTAGACTCATTAGATCACCTTGAATAGTTTGGCCTTCTGGACGACTCCTCCAATCTCTCCGATGCGTCCATTCTTTATCTTACATAATTACATTGAGAACTGATGTGTGGGATATTAAAAAATGATGCTGATTCCATGTATCATATGCTAGAAAATAACTGCTAACCAAAACAGTACTCTGCTCATTTGATTTCTTGTAGGTTTTGATGGCTCAGATAGTATCTCTGCGTCCTCTGATGATTTTAAAGACCAGAACCCTAGGTACAATTCAAGAGGGCTTCAACTACTGGAATTCTTTGTCACAAGATGTCATGAACTTGGGGTAATGTAATCCATGTTTATACGATTTTTCATGGTGGAGTGATCTGTCAATATAAATATGCAAATTATACAGCTAGCTTTACGTGATGTTCATATTCCACATAAACTAAATGTGAGATACCACATCGGTTGGAGAGGGGAATGAAACATTCTTATAGGGGTGTGTAAACCTCTCTCTAGTAGACCCGTCTTAAAACCGTGAGGCTGACGGCAATACGTAAAGTGCCAAAGCAGACGATATCTGCTAGCAGTGGGTTTGAACTGTTACAAATGGTATTAGAGCTAGACACCAAGCGGTGAACCAGTGAGGAAACTGGGCCTCGAAAGGGGCGGATTGTGAGATCCTACGTGAATTGGAGAGGAGAATGAAACATTCTTTATAAAGGTGTGGAAACTTCTCCCTAGTAGATGTGTCTTAAAATCGTGAAGCCGACGACGTTACGTAATTGGCTAAAACGGACAATATCTACTAGTGGTGAGTTTGAGCTGCTACATTTGTGTTACAATCATCGTGTGGCAATTTTGTAGGTTACTTGCGAATCTTGGCTTAAGAAAGGCGATCCAACTGAAGTAATTTGCCTAGAGGCGAAACGCGTGCAACCTGATTTTCTAGTTCTGGGAAGCAGGGGGCTTGGACCGTTCAAGAAGTATGCTCTAGTTTTATTAGCGCTTCTACATTACTGATTCTGAAGTACAAACCACATTTGATCATTTCTTCCAATCTCCGGTCTTAGAGCCGTCCGGAGTCTGTGTTTACCATTGACCCTTTACGGAATTGGAAACCTAACTGCCTGAAAATTCCTCTTGTGGATGTCTGTAGGGTTTTTGTGGGCACTGTAAGTGAGTTCTGTGCAAAACATGCTGAGTGCCCTGTCATTACAATCAAACGTAGGGAGGACGAGACACCCGAAGATCCCATCGATGACTGAGTTTTCAGCCAGTAAAACTCACGGCCTCTTTGATTTCCCTTCATGTTTATAAATAAGAAACTTTTGGTGAGCGTCGCGTGCATTTAGTGTGTAAAGGTTGCAAATTCGCCACTGATTTGCATTTGTGTTGTGATTTGTTCAAGCATACAGCCATTATTTTGTTCCATTTGATTGATGACTCATTTGGGAATTGGTAACATCCTTTCCATGTGAGTAAGATATATAGTTAAAACCATTCTCTTTCTCTCTTGAAAACAGGAATTTTGAATGGAATTTCACAGAAATAGACGTTGAAATACAAGTTTATGTAATTTTACAGATCCAATGAGGGAAGAAGAAGAACAAGGGCAACAATTTGGTGAATAGAAGCAGAAAATAAGCATGGCTTCACAGTTCATATCAAGAAAAATGGAAAATCCGCAAGACTGAGTAAGTTTCTCCAAAACAAATTTAACTCCTTTTTCCCCGCCACCATTAAACAATGGTGATTTTAGCTCCAGCTTCTTCGAGCTGTTTCTTGGCATCCTCAGCCTCTTCTTTCGAAACCCCTTCTTTGAATTTCTTGGGCAGACCTTCGATGAGTTCTTTAGCTTCCTTCAAAGCCAAGTTTGTCAGTGCCCTCACTGACTTAATCACTGCAATTCTGGCATTGCTAGGCACTTCCTCAATGACCACATCGAATTCCGTCTTCTCCTCCACTGCCTCGGCTGCTACGTCACCACCTGCGACGCCGCCAGGTGCTGCCACAACAGCGGCAGGGGCGAAGGCAGCGGCGGAGACCCCAAGCTTGTCTTGGAGGAAGTCGACCAGAATCCGGGCCTCTTCAAGGGTGAGGTTGGAGATGTCGGAGCCGAGTTTCTCGATTTTCTCAGGGGCTGACACGGCGGCGATGGGGCGGAGGCGGGTGGCGCGGTGGGATGGGAATGGGAGGGTCGTGGGTTTGGAGGAGAGGGTGGAGAAAGAGGAATGTGAATGAGAAAGGAGAGATGGGGTACGGAGGGTGAGAGTGGAGAGTGTGGAAGCCATTTTCTTCTTCCGGTGAAAATAGAAAGGAAAGACAGAACGAACGAACGAACGAAGAAGATGATATGATAGGATAAGGAATTGTTGTTGGAAGGCTTGGATATAGAACTTACAAGATGATTTGGTATTTTTTTATCTTCACTACCCCTCATATTTTTTACTTATTACTCCCCAGAGAGACTCAGCTACTCGGTCTCAGTGGAGGGCAAAATAGGGAGATAAGGAAAAAGGTATGCTCCTATTCTGTTTCAATTTTATTTAATAATTGTATTACTTCCATGGAGATACTTCTTAATTATATAACACTTCCTTTCCATATTTTCATTCAAAATAATAATATGAAATCTGTTTTTCCTCGATGAACTAGTGTAAGTGTTAAGGATATTTAGTAATAAATTATAGTTTACCATATATATTATATTTGATATTTTATTATTTGCCTTATTATCATAGGTATCTTTCCATTTATTGTTATTTCCATTTATTACTATTTCCATATCCTTGTAATTTATTTGATTATAAATAAGATAACTTTCACACCATTTAGGTGTGGTGGATTAATCAAACATTCACATGGTATCAGAGCCCTCTCGGTTTAACAACCCCGATCCTTTCTTTTCAATGGCTTTTGAATCCTCTAATCTTCTTCTCCACCACCCCTGCTGGTTTTGACGCCGCAGGGGCAGTCTTCATGGCTGCCGCAGGCGGAGCCGATTGATTACTCTTCGGCTCCACCCTATTGACCTCCAAATCACCTTTCGTCATACTCTGTACATACAACCTCACCTTTTCCAACCCAATCGGTTTTCCCCTTGGCCAATATAGTCTCTCTCATTTTCTTCCCAATCAACCTTCATCCTTCACATAAACCCTAACCTAAACCTATCAACCTTTTGCAGAGATTTACCTTCGGAATCTGGGTGCCGCACTGGCCTATTCGCCAACCAAGTTGCCGCCGCCCTTCCTGCCAAAATTGGCTTCTTCGCCCGATGAGGCGACTCTTCCGACTGCCCTTCTGGCCAAAATTGGCTCCTTCGCCCAATGTGGCGACTCTTCCGGCTTCAACATTGTCTTTGTCCCTTGCTCTAGGTTTCCCCTTCTACTTCTTGGGGTTAGAAATATTCTCACCAGAGCCAAGGCAGCATCGTCGCTAAGCGACAATCCCTCTTCATGGGTTAGACATATTCTCACCGAAGCCAAGGCAGCATTGCCGCTGAGCGGCGATTCCTCTGCAATTTTTGATGGCCAAGAACCGGGTTGTTAGCTTCTTCAAGAAAAGTGTTTCTCAACCTCTTTGAATTTTTCAGATTCAAGCTTCACGTTCGTTTAAATCCGACGCTTAGCTTGCGGTGGGGTGTTAAGGATATTTAGTAATAAATTATAGTTTACCATATATATTATATTTGATATTTTATTATTTGCCTTATTATCATAGGTATCTTTCCATTTATTGTTATTTCCATTTATTACTATTTCCATATCCTTGTAATTTATTTGATTATAAATAAGATAACTTTCACACCATTTAGGTGTGGTGGATTAATCAAACATTCACAGTAAGCATGATAAGATTGATTTTGTTTTATAAAAAAAAAAAATGTATTTATTCGAAAAATTTGAATTCATAGTCAAAATTTTAAAATATTTTCTGAACTATTAATTATAATATAATTATTTTTATTTCACTAGATTGATTAACATTTTAAAAATATTAGAACTAACCAACTACGACGATAATGACCAACTAAAAAGCGAACTATCTCACCAGTAAAGAATTACTGTAAACTATAAATTATCGGACTTTTTTTTTTTTTTTTTTTT